TAGAAGAGTCTGGAATTCCGAGAACGTTGAAAATAAATTCGAAACCCACCCCCACCGATCAAAGTTTTTTTGCTTAAAAAATTGCCGTATTTTATCGAATTTTTATTGTTCTTGTTATCTGAGCATTTTCTCCTTTTAATATGTGATAAATATCATCGCGGCGCAGCCAACCGCTAGAGATTCTAGAGATTTGGATTACTGGAAGGATGCCTCAGCAGTCAAAAAAGGTCAAAATAGGCGATTTCGGTTTCTAGTGTCGATACATCGTTGCGGTCATTTTAAAAAATTGTCTTTTAAGGATAATGTGTATAGTACTAATACCTATCACATACGGGAGCGGCGATAAAATCCCTTTGCATTTGCAATTTCAAAATTAATTAAAACCAATATTAAATTCCGAAAATCGTTTTTTTGCTAAAACTCTTTTTTTTTAATGGGATCAAAATGGGAGTAAAGCACAGAGTCCGGGGTGGTAATGGGCGTATAGTGTCCAAATTTTATGGTTTTCGGACAATCCTTGCCGGTTTCGCGGCGAAATTCCACCTTTTTCCCCTTATAGAAGCCGTAAATTGACTTAAAAAAAAAAACGAACTGAAGCCGTGCCAAGAACAAACGACTTGAACGAATGCAGGTATCACCTTGAAATTTTCAGGGTACCTAGGTACCAGCGTGAAAAGTTCCTCGCCGGCATTTGGTACTCATGGTACCTTTGGTTCCAGCGTAGCGCATGCGCGAAATCAAAACCAGCTAAACTCAAAGCAACCTTGTCGGCACGGAAAACATCAAAGGCGAAATTCGAATTTTTGAAATATTCAAATACCAAACATTCGACCATGAGCCAGGCTATCCAGAAATGTATTAATTTCGGTAATAGGAGACAGATTCTTTAAGCCACGATCAATTGTGGATGTTTTAAAGCCCATTAATGTGGATTTTTCCCTATTTTTCATTTTCAATTCAAAATGGCGTCCATCATTTGCCAAAAATCAAAATTCTACTGCCTACAATTTATGGGCTTTCCTTCAAGGATTCAGAAAATATAATTGCCTTGTCTGTAAGTAAAATATCAAAAAAGCCTTAGCGACATTTCACATTTCACGATGGTGGCACTTCCGGAATGGGCTACAAACTCCATTTTCTGTGAACAAATCAGAAGTGTCGTAGCTAGTAAAGAAAAAAATTTCAAGGCAATCTGACCTATATTTAGTCGATTTTTTTGAAAATTTTAATCCTTAATTTCTCCAAGGAGAGAAAAGTTAGGGCATTTTTAATAGTATCTTTGAAATTGGGTTAATGAGATCTACATACATTCCAAATTTCATGAAAATCGTACCAATATTAAAGAAGTTGTCAATTCTGTTTTACTTCCGGGACGAAATGTCAATGACGTTATTTTCGAAATTCGAAAATAGCAGATTTCAAGTAAATATTTCAAGGTACTCAATGAAAAAGGAATTAGTAAAATAGGTCACATAGTCACAGAGTTATTGGTATGTAGGTCAATATCTTCGTTCGTAATATTCGGTGATTTCGGATTCGTAAAACATTTTGAAAATATATTTAATCAAAAGCTGCCACACAATTTTTTTTTTTTTGGGGGGGGGGGGGTAGGTCAAAGTTTCAGAAAGATCCCATGGTTAGATTCTGAGAAATCCGATTTGCAGAAAGTATACAAAAAAAATAAATAATAATAACTAGATCTGAATAGCAGATATGAAAGCTTTCATATTAACTGCAAAGGGGTTTATTAGAATCTATTGAAACAATAAGTATAAATGTCATCAGGTATCTGAAAAATTACATTTACCTTATGAACAAAATGGGAAAAATACAAAACAAAAATTGTCGACTGGTGGCTACCATCCAAGGCATATTTAGAAAACCGTATATTATATACAGAGTACGCAGGACAGGAATTAGTTATGCTTCAATGGAAACCGGCTCTTTTTTTTGCCTTTAGTTTTAGAGTTAGGTGTGATTTTCAAAGGATTCAATCGGAAATCGCTGAAAATCAATTGGCTTCTTACCTTAAACACTGTATAAATTTAAAGTCAATCGGATATTGAATTTAGCCTCTAGAGCGTCCACAAGATTTTTTAAAGTGATCAAGGGCAATAACTCTGACGGTAATTATCGGAAATGGCAGTAAATATCAGATATCGCTGAAAATCAATACTGTAGGCTTCTTCGTGTCATGACCTTAAACACTGCGCATAAATTTAAAGTCAATCGGATATTAACTTTGGCCTCTAGAACGTCCACAAGATATTTTGAAGTGATAAGGGGCCACATCTCTGGCAGTAAATATCAGATATCGCTGAAAATCAATCGCCTACTTCGTCTCATGACCTTAACCACTGTGTATAAATTTAAAGTCAATCGGACATTAACTTTAGCCTCTAGAGCAACCACAAGATTTTTTTTAAGTGATGAAGGGCCATAACTCTGACAGTAATTATTGGAAATCGCTGAAAATCAATTGGCTTCTTCAACTCATGACCTTAAACACTGTGTATAAATTTAAAGTCAATCGGATATTGAATTTAGCCTCTAGAGCGTGCACAAGATTTTTTAAAGTGGTCAAGGACCATAATTCTGACAGTAATTATCGGAAATCGCTGAAAATCAATAGGCTTCTTCGTCTCATGACCTTAAACACTGTGTATAAATTTAAAGTAATCGGATATTAACTTTAGCCGGCCGGACGGCGGCGACGACAATATACAACCACATTTCAATGTGGGCGTATAAAAATTAACCGATGGCATATAATATTTAATGTATGATAAAGTCAAAATAGTCGATTTTAAAAAAAATGTCTTTTACGGATAATGTGTATAGTACTAATAGCAATCACATACGGAAGAGGCGATAAGATCCCCTTGCATTTGGAATTTCAAAATTAATTAAAACCAAATTTAAATTCTGAAAATCGGTTGTTTATTTTTTCCTGAAACTTCTTTTTTTTAATCTGATCAAAATGGGAGTAAGTCACAGAGTGGTAATGGGCGTATTGTGTCCAAATTTCATGGTTTTGGGACAATCGGTGCCGGTGTCGTGTCGAAATTACACTTTTTTCGCCCTTACAGAAGCCGTAAATGGCGGAAAAAAACGAACGGCAGGAACCGTGTCAAGAACAAACGACCTGAACGAATGCAGGTATCGCCTTGAAGTTTTCAGTGTACCTAGGTACCAAAGTGAAAGGTTCCTCGCCGGAATTTGGCAGTCAACGTGCCTTTGGTTCCAGCGTGGCGCATGCGTGAAGTAAAAATAGAAGAGTGTTGGATTCCGAGAACGTTCAAAATATATTCAAAACCCAACCCCAACAATCAAAGTTTTTTTGCTTAAAAAATTGCCGTATTTTATCGAATTTTTATTGTTCTTGATATCTGAGGATTTTCTCAATTTAATATGTGATAAATATCATCGCGGCGCAGCCAACCGCTAGAAATTCCAGAGATTTGGACCACCGGAAGGATGCCTCAGCAGTCAAAAAAGGTCAAAATAGGCGATTTCGGTTTCTAGTGTCGATACATCGTTACGGTCATTTTAAAAAATTGTCTTTTAAGGATAATGTGTATAGTACCAATACCTATCACATACGGGAGCGGCGATAAAATCTCTTTGCATTTGCAATTTCAAAATTAATTAAAACCAATATTAAATTCCGAAAATCGTTTTTTTGCTAAAACCCTTTTTTTTAATCGGATCAAAATGGGAGTAAGGCACAGAGTCCGGGGTGGTAATGGGCGTATTGTGTCCAAATTTCATGGTTTTCGGACAATCGGTGCCGGTGTCACGGCGAAATTCCACTTTTTTCCCCTCATGGAAGCCGTAAATTGACTTGAAGCCAGGGTCCTTGAAGTTGTACAGCTGCACCCGGTGACCGATATTTATTTAACGGGGAATAAGTGATAATTCATATTATAGCAGTAAATAATTAAAATATTTCATAGGGATTATAATAATATGTATATCTTGTCTGGGTACAGGGTTAAAACCAATATTAAATTCCGAAAATCGTTTTTTTGCTAAAACTCTTTTTTTTTTAATGGGATCAAAATGAGGGTAAGGCACAGAGTCCGGGGTGGTAATGGGCGTATCGGTCCAAGTTTCATGGTTTTCGGACAATCGGTGCCGGTGTCACAGCGAAATTCCACTTTTTTCCCCTCATAGAAGCCGTAAATTGACTGAGAAAAAAAACGACGAAAGGCAGGTGACAAGAACAAACGACTTGAACGAATGCAGGTATCACCTTGAAATTTTCAGGGTACCTAGGTACCAACGTGAAAAGTTGCTCGCCGGAATTTAGTACTCATGGTACCTTTGGTTCCAGCGTAGCGCATGCGCGAAGTCAAATCCAGCTAAACTCGAAAACAACCTTGTCGGCACGGAAAACATCAAAGGAGAAATTCGAATTTTTGAAATATTCAAATACCAAACGTTCGACCATGATCCAGGCTATCCTGAAATGTATTAATTTCGGTAATAGGAGACTTATTCTCTAGGTCACGACCAATTGTATATGTTTTCAAGCAGATTTTAAGTAATGTTTCAAGGCACCCCTCAAAAAAAGAATTAGTAAAATAGGTCAAAAAGTTACAAAGTTACAGTAATGTAGGTCAAATGAATTTGTTCGTAAAATTCGGTGATTTCGGATTCGAAAAACGATTTGAAAATATATTTAATCAACATTCGCACCCCATTTTTGAAGGGGGGGGGGGTAGGTCAAAGTTTCCGATTGATCCTATGGTTAGATTCTGAGAAATCCGATTTGTAGAAATGCCACAAAAAAAAAATAATAATAATAATAGGAATAATAATAATCTTAACAGAAACAATAAGCTTTCATATGTTATACATATGAAAGCTTAATAATCTTAACAGAAACAATAAGCTTTCATATGTTATACATATGAAAGCTTAATAATCTTAACAGAAACAATAAGCTTTAATATGAAATATGAAAGCTTAATAAAAAGTTAATATCTATTTCTTACATAGTCTGTTAGCTCTGCATAGTATTCAGTTGAAGATATTGACCCATCGCCTGTAAATAGAGATTACATCAAGATGAAGTTTCTAGATATCACTAATTTAAAGCTAGACTTCTGGTATAAAACTAAAATTATTTATTTTATGATCAGTAGTGGAATACCGCGTTTTATCAGTGAAATAAAAGTGTTATTCCACTGGCTAGTTGTTTTTACCTAAAATGATTGTAAAATCATAAAATAAATAGAACATTTGCCGTTTTGTCGTGAATAACATATTTTATTTCATCTCTAAGCAAGAAAACGTTTATATTTTCACTCATGCTACGCATTCGTGAAAATATAAGTTTTCTTGCTTCTCGATGAAATAAAATATGTTATTCACTCTAAAACGACAAATATCCTCTATATATTATGGCATTACTAGATTATTTCGTGATTCCAATCGAACAGCCGTCCAATCAAGTAAAATGGCAATTTCTGGCATTTCTTACCCGATTTGTTATTGTGTTCCAGGTAATGTGTATAATTATTAGACTGAAGATTAGAAGTAGGTTTGGTCAGATATCACTGGAACTCTGTTATTATTGAAGTAACAAACTTACCATTAGCATCAAATTCATTGAAACGACTTTTTAATTCATTTTTATCAACTTTTCCGTCTCCATTTTTGTCGTATACTTTAAATACAGCTTCGGCTTTAGCTTTTTCCAATCCGGATTCCTTTATAAGCTCCGCCAGGGTAACTTCACTGTTACCTTAAAAAAGAGCGACAGAGAGAGAAATGGGGTTTAACGTCTACTCGACACAAACTAAGTCATTTCGGGACTAACATATGGTTCTATTTTATTTCCATAATTCGCTTGCGCGTAGGGGTCTTAAGCAGTGGGAAAGAAGCCCGGAGAAAACCCACGAGGTTGGACAGTAACCATTCGGCAATCCCTCCCCACCGTTAGGAAGAACATTGAGAGTATCTTGTGACAAGTAGGTTTATTGTGTGATTAACGGATAAACTGTTAAACATTCCCGAAATGACCCAGTTTGTGTCGACTGGACATTAAACCACCCTGTCTTTGTTAGTCCCAAAATGATATAAATAATTCATATATTTACAGTAGGCCAACATGACGTACCGGTACTTGTAAATGGTTTCAAATTAACACCGTTTTATCGGGTTTGTAAGTGTCAGGAACCAGTTGAACAGTATCCATACATGATGTCGACATGCTTCTGACGTAATGACTGTAATCGATCACGTGGGGATCCGTCATTAAAGTCATTGTGTTTAGTAAACAACCTCCAATTATTTCAACTAGAAATAGTACATACCATCCAAGTCAAACACTCCGAAAAAAGGTTCAAATTCATCGTATGTCAATTTATTGTCATTATTTGTGTCCAAATCTTCGAATTTCTTACCATAACTGAAACTATATACAGAATATGAACTCATATTAACATCTTTAAATCAAAACAATGTGCTTAAAAAAAACCACCATTTATTAAATTTTCATCTATTTTTGATATTATTAGAGATTACTAATAATGGTTGTAAAGTAAACTAAAGGTGTCGCCATAATATCTTTAAATCAAAACAATGTAGTAAAAAAAAAAAAAAAAAAAAAAAAAAAAAAAACAACCACAAAAGGCACCATTTATTAAATTTTCATCTATTTTTGATATTATTAAAGATTACTAATGGTTGTAAAATAGTGACATTATCCGGTAGTGACGTCATTGACTAATGCTAAACGTTAGCTTAGTCAGCCATTTATTGATTTCATTTTAAATGGACGACTGTTTAAATCCAAGCTGTATCCAAGCCATCCGAGGGTGATTTTGAGTTTGTCATGTAAATAAAGTTTGTTATTAATCATTTCTATAACATCTGAAGCCAAATAAAGACTTGCAATAGACGGATTTAGCTCTTGCACAATGTATGTTTTATGTATATTAAAACTCAAGAAGATAACCTATTAACCCATGTCGCATGTTGTAGAATAAACTCAAGAATATACCCCGTGTCGTAATAGTATAGTGTTGTAGAGTACACCACAGAACTAAACTCAAGACAATACCCCGTGTCGTAATAATATAGTGTTGTAGAGTACACTAAAGAACTAAACTTAAGAAAATACCCCGTATCGTAATAATATAGTGTTGATGGGTACACTAAAGAAGATAACTTATGTCGCAATAATATATTGTTTTACAGTGGTAAACATAAAACACCATACCTCACAAGACACAGAGAAAACACAATAGCTGTAACTATGATACTCATCTTGATCTTTAGCTTGAAATATTCAATATATATTCTTCAAAAAAAGTAGGGGATATTCAGAAACAATTGGACCTAAACACCCTGTTATTTTAGGACTATCGTATCTTTCAAATTTGGAGCGAAACATTAGATCATACTCGTATGATCCACTTTACGACTTTCTGTTCCATAATTACCCCCCTCCCTTTTCTGAAAACCTTGCGAACGCAACAATGACAACAGTTTGAAGCAAAGGGGTAGGAGGAGATGGATCCTGCAGATATTCAGCATTTTAGCTGATGTATAGGTGTATTTCCTGCACGGCCTACATATTCATACCTGTTTTAAAACGCATATTACCCCAATGGTATCAATTCTTTAATGTTAATTAATTAACAACTGACAAATGCACCCAATTTTTGCGAGATAAAACACCACTTATCGGTTATGCAGATGAAAGGAATCTGCGGTACAAAAAAGACCTCGGCCTTGTATGGTGCATTTCGCTGTAATGAAAATGGTACTTTACCCGATTGCTGTACCAATGCCACCCCAGACGACCAAACAATACATATATCTTACCTTTGAAATAACTCTTTCAATCTGCCTGGAATCAGTTATTTGAATAAAGTATCGATGGTGCCTTTATATAGGCTACTAAATAAAGAGATGAGTCATATTCTGTAGCAGGTGAACACGTATACTTTTTATCATATTACATTAAAGGGACATCATGTCGACTTGTGGGAGTGGGATTCAATATCAGAAATAGGAGAGTTGGGTGTATTTTATAGATGCGGTTGTGTGTGGATTAATTGTCGGGTGTTATTTACGAAATCAGAAAAAAGGAGGGTTGGGTGTATATAATAAATGCGGTTGTGTGGGGATTAATTGTAACAGGTGAACACGTATTTCTGTTTATCAAGGGACAACATGTCGACTTGACTTGTGGACGTGGGATTCAATATCAAGAAAAGGAGAGCTGGGCGTATTTTATAAATGCGGTTGTGTGAGGATTAATTGTCATACCTTTTTGCTTGGGAGGGGGGGGGGCGTGTAAAGGGGAATTCAAATATTACTTTTACTTATTTTTTTGCCGACGGAATGTGTTTATTATGGTCCGTAAACTATTGATTTCAGGTCCCCAGCAGTTTGAATACTGCGACAATTAATTTCTGAGACAATTAATTAAAGGGCCAACCTGGATAATCATTTGAAAAATAAAACTGCTTAAGTTTGTGTGAAAATCCCTTAAAATCCCCTACCTTAGGACCGAGCAACTAACTCAATACAAGTAATACGTTTTCAAACAACTTAAACCCATCAGTCTTTATCAGGAAATGGAGACCGGTTTCCCAATCTCTATTATACGGTGTCTGGATAAAACTAGAATAGGTGTAGGTGAAATTTATCTTTCGTTGTCAAGTACAGCATGTGGTTCATGCACTGTATAGACCACTAAAGGAATGGCAATCGATTATCAGGTCACCCAACGACAAAAAAAACCCCCGAAATCTTAAAAGAGTTACGTGTCCGGATAAGCAGTTTTGACGTTCACGTCCAAACGACTTGATATTTTGAGCTGAAATTTGAGACAAGGTAAATACACCATTATGGAGCTTAACTTTCATTCGTACACTGACTTTTATTTTTGAGACTCTGTTCAAATCGGGATAGTCCCTTTAATGGACAACCCCACATATCCCCGTGGGTACAACCGTGAAGATGGTTGCCACTATATATCCTGATATGTAGTTAAACACCAGATATCAGTACATGTACTGCCCATTCAGAGGATCAAAACAAAACTTAATTAACACTTCATAAATTGTTTAAAACGTCAAAACGATTCAAATTACAAACCATCTCGCCATTAATTTATATGTTGTTGTGACGGGGGTGGTGCACGAGGCGGAGGCAGGCTCATCCAATACCTACCACAAGTTCTTTTTTTTTTCCTTTCATATCTGAGTTCTACTTTCTATATCACTAATAATTAATGGAGAGACCAACTGTTGTATAATACATTTCGAACCCGGTTGGAAAGACCCCCCCCCACCCACATCGTGTGGGAACCCTTAACGGAGCAAGGATCGAGACCCCTAGTCCGTCCCTGGTATCTTATAGACCGATAGTAATGACATGTTCATTTAAGAAAATACACATTAAAGGAGCTAAGTCGCTATTCTTTGGTACTTAGAAATGGACTCTAATGGATCACAAGGCATATAATAATGTAATATGAATGTATATAAACTGATTTACATTCAATCGTTTCTGTTTTTACTGTAATTTCTAATCAGTTATGTTCGGTAGTCTTTGACGTCTGATTTTTCCAATCTACGTCGGTAGTATTCTCCTATATTGGGTGTGTTTAGCCTTTCGCATCGGGTCGCTTCACTCGAATCGTGTGCCAATTTTAAAGTTTTCATTTTGTCTTAAATATTGGATATCAGAAGTCCACCTTTCACAGTAACATAACAACATCAACATTGATTTAATTTGACCAATAAGTCGTGTTTGCAATGTTGAAGACTGTGGATGATATTGAGTTGAAGACTTTGCTCCTTTAAACATCATTTAAATATGGCCTACAACCTGTAGCACGTTCCCCTCGAACTAAAAATAAATTGTGTATTGGAATTTTCGATAAAACGGAAACGTTTGTTACGAATATGAATTAGCTGGGAAGGGACAAATACAATCTGTAGAACCAGATATTTGATGTAAGTGAACCCATTTGTTTCCGGGACACCCATTTGACACAAAATCTTATTTTTTATCCAGGCACACCTTCCATATAATAATCTATCTGCATACAAAGTTTACGAAAATACATTTAAACAACATGTGAATATGTTCTATCACCTGTAGCACATTCCTTTCAATATAAAAATAAATTATTTATTGGAATTTTCGATGAAACGTAAACCTTCATGTAGCTATAAAATACTAGACTAATATTCCAATAGTTAATTTATAATGCGTTTAACACCATATCTTTCTACGCGAATTAACAATAAATTGTTCATTGGATAAAAGGGAAACATTTAATGCAGGAAATTGCAATATGTTTAATATCATAACTTTCCCCTCCCTTTTCATGATGGACTAAAACGTAATATGGTAGTTAATGTTCTTGCGTAGTGATTAATTTACGTCGATTTTCAAGAATTGTTAAGAGGTATGCATAACCTAACAACACCAGGATATACTCTATAGAGTCGATGTTTTTTTTTCAAAAGAAATTTCGAGCCTGGAGAGAACCCCGTCGTTCCCCTCACGGAGCAAAGATCATCCCGTCCCTGGTATATATTTATTGTCTAATGCCCACTGCTGGCAAAAAAAGAGTACTACCGTGGCAGTTGCACGAACTTGTGAAATGAATAACAAAAAGAAATGAACCTGTGTTTACTATTGGTATAGATTATACCAGATACGGACCGGAGGCCATAAGGTCCCTGAACCTCGCCTCGCGAGTGGTTTCCACTCTATGGCGCTCCGATGAGGATCACCCCCCACCCCGGGCGCGAAATTTCCTTTGAAAGACTGTCTGGCTATTTATTTAGAAAATGTTGATAATCCCTCAGAAATATTTTTATAAAATGTTAATTAGTTGTGTTTGTTTTTTTATACGCTCAGTATAACTGTTACCATTATTTATCTTAGTATTTATGAATCTTGATTTTTTTCCGTTGGATATGGCTTGTAATATATCTTATGTAAGGGTTATCAGGTTGCTGAGTTCAGTTTCTACCCAAACACCTAGCCAAGATGGTGTAAATTATTTAAAGCGATAAGCAAAATAGAATCAAAAATTGCGATTTTTGTTCGTGTCGATATTGCTTGTTTTCGGGATTACTGAATTCAATATTGGGTTCAAAAATTAATTTCCGATAAGATTGTCACACATCAAATTTGTGCGTAAACTAGAAACATCAGGTGTAAGGAACAATTTTTATTTAACCATAAACATACATTATGCAAGAGCTAAATCTGCCTATTGCGGGTCTTTCTTTAGGCCTGAAATGTTATCTAAATTATTAATTAGACATTAATTAACCTATCCAGATCATAACCAACTTTCGATGGCATCGCTAGCCTGCGATGTTTATTGGATTAGGTTCCGATTTGCTGTTCGACTTCCATTCATAATTAAATCAAAAAATGGATAATCGAGACTATGTTTTGGTTTTTTATCCTATCGATTTTAGTAATGATGATCGAGGCTAGCCCCATTATTCAATCGCCAAAATCTCGGTTCAGAGTGGATCAATTTGACTGAAATTTTCAGTTAATTCCATTAACATTATCTAGTTTTTAACTATTATAGTATTTATAATAAGAACTGGCAGCTCCCAATGCATCTTTAACTAACAAACAATTGTTTTCTCTCTTTAATCTCCCCCATTAGAATTTAAAATGTTTTTATTTCCGATTCAACCAAATGAATAGCATTTTCTGAACGATGCATTATGTTAGAGCTAAATTTGCATGTGACCATGTCTATAATTTTTTGGCTTCAGATATTACATGGATTATTATTAAAACAGGCCTATAATCAACTCTCTAGACCATCGGATGGCCGAGATTTAAAAAAGGATAGGGCAGACTTAGTCTCGGTTGTCAAGTACAGTGGTTACGATAATAAACTATCTACGCTATATCTTCAAACAGCCATCACTTCGCCCAGAATGTAGAACTATGAATGTAATTTTCAATACATTAATGGGCGTATGGCTTTATTTTTTGGAACGTTTTTGAAATAGACAAAACAAGTTCTAAAAGCACATATTAATGTAATATGAATGTGCGTAAAATTCAATTTTAGCTAAAAATATTGTAATTTATAATCAGTTATGTTCTGTGAAATACGTGAACAGTTTAAATTGAACGTCAGTCGTTTACACCTGCTTAGTGCATTCTACACGTTTTTTAGAATTATTGTTTTGTCGTTTGTGAATCCGCCTTTACTAAATACTTCCACATTGTGTTGTAGGATCTTTTTTTATTTGTTCATTATATAATGGCACCCGAAACCATAGGGTAAATTTGGATTTTGTCTTAAATATTGGATATTAGGATCCTATACTTTTACGGCAAGAAAAAAACACCAATATTGATTGAAAATGATTAATATTGAATTCTACTTCCTGTTTTTAATTTCGAATATTATGGAAAATATTGAGTTAGAGACTTAACTCCTTTAATTTTGTATTCTCTTTATCTAAATCTTGCATAATGCATTTTTAAGATTTGGCGTGTAACTATCAACCCCCACCCACTAAATACCAGATCACTTGTAGCAGGAATGCACAAATGTAGATTTGCGACTTCTGCGCCAATGGATTTCCACCACAGTTTTGTCATCATTCTCGATTGTGTCCATGAAACTTACCGATAGCATTAATAATATCTTAGAGTAGCCAAAATTTCGACCACTTCCGGTTACCTTTTTCCGAGATATCAGGTTACCACTGTTATCTTACAACGGCGGGGGATTATGCGCCGTGCAGATTTATAAATTGAAATAGGAAGAATAGATTGTTGATTTGATGTTTATTCCGCCATTCTACAAAGTCAACCTCACAACGAGGTTATTAATATTCGATCATCCGGAGAAAACATTATATAGTTGTGATTAACCAGACTTAAGTAGATATTTAAGGGTTATTAAATAGAAGATATAACATCCCCCCGGCGAA